TTTTTTTTCCTCGTTCTGAGAAACCTATACTTACCGTCTTGTTCCTATAGCCAAATCATAAATCATTTCTAGTAGTCCTTAGTTCACCGAGTTACAAAAAGATCGGGTCAAATCTTGGAATCACAGAACTCTTGCACAGCCAACAATAAACATCAGGAGTACGTTCTAAAGACAGAGAAGCTGAACCACTTGGTTTCAGAATAATCAAATTCACTTAAGGAACGTGGCAAATGTATCACATGATAACCCAGGACTCGGAACACATTCAATGTGGCAGAATTTCAGAAAAACACACCGGTTAGGATTTAAATCTCGAAAAGAAAAAGACAACTGTTACTATGCCACCCCACAAGTCAGCGTGAAGCAGAGCTCGGGAGACAGGCCTTTCATCTTATGAAAATGTGCATTTTCATAGGACCAGGGAATTAACACACTTCACGGGTCCTTTTTGCTACAACTATTTTAAGTGTTATCACCCGCTTGAACCGAATCAAAACGAGAAAAGAAAAAGAAAGGAGGACACAAAATGAACAGACCATAACTTTATTGGAGATTGACTCTGCTACAAGTATTACAAAAGGAAACAACTAAAGGGAACTGGGACCCATAAGGTGCACTGCGTTATTTCTGCAGCATGGTGACCGTATGAATGAATTACATCATGTTCCTTAAAAACAGCTGCAGCATGTGATGGTGAATATGTTATTGTCAATCAAATCATGTTAGTTTTTCTCGATTTTAGTCATTTTCCTTCACTCTATTTACAGCAGAAAAAGCCAGAGATTCTACTTGGGGTTCACCTTTGCATTTTTGCTATGTGACCCTGCTGATGCAGTGAATTCTGAGTGCCTCTGTAGGATTTAAAGTGTCTGTGGTTGACGTCCAAATGAAAATGGACTAGGGGAAAAAAAAAAAAAAAAGACCAATCAATCAATGGCTAAAATATATTTACAAGTTAGTTCTGAAAGACCATTTTCACTGCGAGTGGAGAATACAACAGTCTCGACGTAAATTCCCGTGATATTGCTACCAGGGTCTCCAACAACTGTTAAGAGATCACTTTAATATTCTTGGTCTTAAACATTATCTTAGAAACTTCTCATGTACAATATAAAATAAAGAAATTTATTTGGAAAGAACTGAATTCCCGAAAAGTAATCAGTGGCTGAAAAAATAGACCTATTCAAACGCAATCAAAACGACCGTACAGGTTGATGGACGCGACACGAGTCTCTCTTCCGCAGGGAGCACGGGCTGGGTTGAGGGCTCCGACATTAATTTCAGATGCAGTTTAAATAAAGGTATCCAGGGTCTCGGCTTGGTGGCTTAACTTTTGTGTGAAAGGACTCGGTACCCTAGCAGAGGAAGGTAGAAAGTTTGAAATCAACCGGGCCTGAAGACGGAACGAACCGTGGTCGGTCTGGGTTTCGACTCTTCTCTGCACCCCGCAGTCCCCGCAGAGCACCCCGGGGGAGAAGGGTGGCAAAGAGCCCACTGCTGGGTGAGCGGTCGCATCTGGGAACTGAACCCACAGAAGCAAAGCGGCCTCAAGTCTCTTGCTCTTTAGGCAGGGCAGTCTGAATCTCTCTGAGGGCCAGCTATTATTAAGAATGTTAAAATATTAGTATTTTTAAGAGATAATTACAGGAGTGTTAGAGGTCATTCTAGATTTCATCACTTCACATGACATTAAAGGAAAACCGAAAAAAAAATAAAAAGAGTAACAAATACGTTTAAAACATACTTAAGAGTTCAGTGAACAGATCTTTGTCATACACAAACAGTAAGAAATGCCACAGACAAAAAAAAAAAAAAAAAAATGACCTATTTAAGTTGTGCGAGTATATGACACATTGCAGGCATTATAATCATCTTTTTCAAATCCGGCAAATCAAAACAGCAGCGAGGCCAAACCACATTTTTTTTTTTTTTCCTCTCCGTGAAGCAGATTTTCCTTGAAATGAGGTAAAGCATGGTACCAAGTGCAAGGCTTCTCTGTGCTACACGAACAGAACGGAGGGGGGACAAAGCTATTACAAAACGCAGCATAGTTAGGACCGTGGAAAGGAGATCACGAGAGAAAGGAAGAATCTGTACAACGAAGGTTCGTCCCCACTAACCTCCACACAATCATCGGAAGGAGCTTCTGCAGCTGCTTCTTCAGGACACCCCCCGACCCCCCGCCCTGCCCTGCACACACGTGCCCGTGGCGCCCCACCCCCACCCCCCAGTGCCCTCGGCTCGCGGGGCTTCCGTTACATTCGCTCTCACAGTGCAATCACAGGAACAAAGGGATGACACACGCGGGTGGCAAGTGGGGCGACAGAGAGTGATTTTCCTCCTTAATCGATGGATGCAAAACATTTCAACAAGCTAAACTGGGGGTCGGGGGGGTGGACTTTACAGCATTAAAAATCAGCAGCACGAAAGCGTTCGTAACCCATCTCATTTGTCTAACTCGAGTTTTTATTTTTTGACTTCGTAAACCAGGGGATCACAGAATCCGTCCGAGTGTGAGTCACAGATCAAAATTAGCTATCTGTCTCCAACAACAGAAAAATGGAATAGCGAAAGGTTGCTGTTGAGAAAACATTTTGAATGGTAGCAGGAAATTTGAACCCCTGAGAATGTATGACCTAATCATATCCGAGTCTGAACTTTTTAGTTTTAACAAAAAATACTCTTCTTAAGGTTACAAAATATATTGAGGCATTTTTCTCCCAACGGGAATTGTAACTGTGAAACAATCTGGTTTTGGTGCCAGGAGGCGAGAGAATCCCTTAACGCTGGGATTAGTGCATTAGACGCAATGCAAAGCCCTGGGCTCCCGGCATCAGGTAGTTTATAAATTAAGAAGAGATTTGTGATATAACGTTATCACAAAATCACCCTCACAAGTACAATTCACATCCAGCCTTACTTGTCAATTATACACGTTTACAGTTAATATAATTCAAGAGTTGCTTGGTTTTCACTTGCTAGGAGATCTGACACTGAGGTTTTATTTTAAAAAACCGAATAGAAAGCGAAGGTTCCAAATCGGAAAGAAGTATTTTCAAAAGGAGTCTACCCAAATCAATTTGCTCAAAGACACACTGAATAATTTATATCGCGATTGAAATTTAAGACCGGAGACAACGAATAACACTGGAGAAGCTTAACATCCCCGTCCAACTCAGGTCTCCTTAGAAAGTGGAGCTGACCGTTTTCCCTGCGCACGCGTGCAGAGAGAGGTGTTTCTCTGGGGGGGTGGGGGGGGATAAAGTAAAAATACAGTATTCTGATTGTGTTTAATGCTCAAAACACAGCATTACATGAAGCCACTGCTTCAGGATCCGATGTGTGTGGAGAAACATTAGACACCCCTCTGCTTCTACATGAACCACTTCAAGGCATAATTAAAGACAATGTGCAGCAAACCTCTACTGGTGTGTCGGTGGGAGTGCAGGACTGACCTGCAGCTTTTCAAAAGGTAAGAGTGTCTGAGGTATTATAGTTACAAAAAAAAAAAAAAAAAAATTAAAATTTCAAGCATAATACATAAACATAGCACCAAACACGGGAAAAATGCATGCAAAAGAAAAGAAAAACTGAGGTATTTAAGTGAAGAGTGCCTACAGGTCTAATTAAAGAAACTTCGGCAAATGCCTAAAAATGTTTTTTTTTCTTTTTTTTTCCTTTTCCAAAGATGGAAAGAATGAGTTTATCTAAATTAATGACCTAAATCACAGATGTATCAAAATTACGGCAGTTTATCACAAACGTTACATTTCCATGGCATTAACAGCACGGCTTTGGTAGGTGAGATCTGCATGCAACACTGTGAAAAGTACAGTAAGACATTGACGTGAGAAGAGACTAACGGTAAAGGTGCTTTGTTTTGCTTCTTTAAATAAGTAACCAATCACTTATAAAATCTGCAGCATAGTTTAGGTGTGATATGTCTAAAGGTTATCTTGTTAGAGCAACAGCCTACAGGGCAAAACTGTTTGCCACAATTTCCATCAGTGAAGCTACCTAGCAGGAGGTTTTTAGTAAAACTGGGTATTTAGCCAAAGATCCTTTTTATTATGGTGCTTAGAAAAAATCCAGAGACTACATATCTATTCTGGTTTTCAAGATGCCTTCGGGACACATACGACAGAAACGCTAATATAATCCTGTAATAAGTCACAACCACACTAGTGAGTTGCAAGTATCACACGGTCTCGACATCTTAAATGCATAATAAAATGAAGGGAATGTAAAATAGTTTGTTCCAAAAGGATCGGAAATCAAAAGGACATCCATGAGGGCTTTACTTTTAAGGCGAGAACCTTTTTCGATTCAAGACTACGTGGCATGAGAAAACGAAAATTTGATTCACCAACGTGCCAGCCAACGTTAATGAAAAACCTGTCCCTTACTATATATTAAGTGCAACGGCGACCGGGAGACATCGTCTTACATGACAGGGCATGGAGAGAAATGGTGCGGGCACTCTTCTCCTCCGGCAAACCGCACCATTCTCCTGGGCGCATGGGCCACCGGGAGACCCGTGCCGGTGCCCACGCTGAGGAGGGGAGGACGCCCCACGGAATCCAGGGGCCGTCTCAGCTGTAAAGCTCCTTGGCCTTCTACCACTAAGCGAAGCTGACAGAAATGAAACTAGGTTAACACAAAAACAAAAACAAAAACCCCAAACAAAAAGAGAACCGCCGATAATTATTTTGAACACTTGCCAAATGTCATCATTAAAGCACTCTTGTGATCTGAACAAAGCGGAAGTGAGGAAAGAAGACGAGATTGTGTTTGCGCAAAAAACTAAAACTACAGTTAGCTCCAAAATTTTTATACATATGTTAAATGTTTTATTCTGTAATCTAGCTTGTTATCAAACAACCTTTAAATTCTGCCTTCGATTCATTCCGCTCACTACCGACTTGAAATCACCCTTGTCAATTTCAATGGTTTTCCCCTTAATTCTGCTTTTTTTGTGTTTTTCACTTTAAAAAGGGGCTTCAGCTGTTGGGAACCTGAGGTTGATTGGCTTTGAGGCTGCGGAGGGCTCTTCTTGCTGCCGCGGACTTGGCAATCCTGTAGCTTCGGCCGACGCCTTTAAATTTCCCCTTCCCCACCACTTCCACCGTGACTCTGACCTTGCCGTCGTACGTTCTCTCAGCCGGGCTGCGAAGAAACCAAACAGCTTGTATCAGAAGTCAGAACTATTTATTATGATTGTCAATCAGCACTGAGCACGCACTCGGGGGGGTGGGGGGTGGGGTGTGCAAGCCGACAGCACACAAGGAAACGTGCAGTGCACGGGGGCGCGTACCCCGACAGACGGGGCTGCGTCTCGCTTTTAACGCGACGTTACTCTATGAAAGCAAAAGGGAAAGTCAATCAGACTACAAATATAAAGTGCAGAGCGCATGCCCCAGTGTAAACATTTTTCAGAATCATTAGTTTATGACACCTCTGACAACTCCCCAACCCCCCCCCCCGACCCTCGTTTTCAAGCAACTTAATTTTTTCCATGCACGTTCTGCCTTACCTAAATTTGGCAGTTTCTGGTTCCATTTCAAGCAATTCTCGCACAGGGGAGCGGGGCACATTTGCCGAAAATTTTTCTGTAATCAAAACGAAAGAACAGTGTGCGTGATATCCTTGTCATTCTTTTTTAAGGATGATTTTGTTTCTTTCCAAGGGGAGCGAACGGTACCTATCAGCGGCCGCATCATAGGATAGTACACATGCCAGACCATCTCCAAGGACATCCCACTATCCATGTAAATGGCACCAGCAAGTGACTCGAAAATGTCCCCCATGGCCTTTGGAACTTCAATATCCTCTTCTTTCTCTTCGTCCTCCTCAGACCTCCTGAGCTATTTACACAGAGAAAAGTGATGTGTAAGCAAAAAGACCATCTTTAAAGGCGTTCCACAGAAGTGCGTTTCTTTTCTCAGCAAGGACTCTTACTATATCTTTAACAAGGGTAACACCACCAACCATTTGGGGCAACCACCTACTACACTGTAACAGGTTCTTCATAAACATTATCTTACCTAAAAAAAAGATTTTTCCAACTTCTCAAAGAAAAAAAACAAAAACAAAAACAACTCCCTTCCCCATTCAGTATTATTCTATACTCAGCAAAGGGAAAAAAGAGTACTTCTAAATGAAAACAAAATCAACTTTAACACAAAATTAGAAATAGTTAATGAACGTATGAAAAAAATTTTCAAATCCACTCTTCATCAAAGAACTTCATCTTAAAACATTTCTACCCCCTAGCGGCTTGGCAAGGATTAGGCAGAATACTAATCCGTACAGCACGGGCAAGGGTTGTGTAAGTTACTTTGGGGAGTAGAAGTTATCACTTTTTGCCAGGGAAATTCTACTAGAAGACAGATTTCTCCAAGCTCCCTTTTTATTAAACCCCTTAGCACACACTGCCTATTAAGAGTACCTGACACGTATTCAAATTAATGTAATGAAAAATTATGAATATACTAATGCCTTTTAAAAGTTCAAAATTCTTTGAACAGGAATCCCATCTCTAGGAATTTATCTGAAAAAGGTACTGGATATATTTGCCACACGTATGTTTATTAAAAGCCCTAAGTAAAAACAACTTAAATATCTAGGCACAATGGACTGTTTAAATACATTCCATTAGAGCTATATTGACAACTGTGCAGCTACTGAAAGTTGTAATGCCGCTGGATACGTGGAAAGGTGTCCTCAATACATTAAGTGAAAAAAACACATTGTGGTATACTATGTATAATATAATGGCACTTTACATTTCATGTATGTTTATGTTTATACGTATTAGCAATAAAACATCACAGACCGTTAAGTCTGGTTATTTCTAAGGCAGCATATTTGCGTAACTTTAATCTTCCTTTTGCTTATCTGTATTTTATAAAATAAACACAAATTACTTGTGAGAAACAAAAAAAGAGGTGAGGTTTTTTTAAAATTTCTAGATGGACTGTTTAGCCACACAGAGCTCTATATAAACCACTTGTAATGCTGACTCTTGGGAAAACAAGATACTTACTGTTGGTACATCATGGTTTTGAGGTAGAAAGGAATTTTAAAACTTACTGAGTTTAATTCTCTCCTTTCACAAAAGAAGAAACCGAGGCCCGGAGAGGTGGAGAGACTTTAAGATCCAACAGGAAGTCAGAAAAGCCAGACCACTGACATTTCTAATCACTTTTTATGACTCCTGATACATACGTTTCTGTAAACAAAGGTCAGGAAAAGAGGGGACACAACAGAACCGGCGTGGCCCGCTGTCATCAAAAACGGCTGAAGTCGAAGTTTGGCTAGTGCCTCAAATTCTAAGCTTAAAGGCTTCTGAAGAACGAGACCAGAAGTCCTACTGAGAACACAGGGGCTGGTCCTAAGTCCTGGTCCCACTGCTAGCTGTGCTCCAACTCGGACCATTCACCCTGGACGAGTACCCGCCGGGGAACGTGGATTCCCCTCCGGCACACGCTCTGTAGTGTTTACAGGCTCTGACACTTCCCTTGCGGCCACACCTCCAATTCCTTTCACAGCAAGTCAAAGGAAATGCACTGCTCCCCAGCCAAGGTTTGGGGCAATTAAAAGAAGGGAAGGTGCAGATCACTGAAGGAACAATTAAAACGGCCACCAGAATGCCGCACACATTTCCTGCCTCCTTACAAGAAATCTACAAAAGTAAGAGAAACAAAGGAATCAGGACGTGCAGAACAGGACCCGAGAGTGCTCTCCTGGGTACACACAGGCCTGCAGAAGGATGGCAGCGAAGGGTCAGAGAGGGGAAAGATGGAAGTGAGATCCCTTGCTACAAAACTTCAAAACAGCCCGGAACACATTAAAATGAGCTCCATCACGGAAGAACCTCGGGCTGAACTCAGGCCAGAAGCCTCCCAAATGCCACCGGCTAGAATCTCAGAAGGCTGGTTTTTAAGTGAGTTCTCCTATTTTCAAGCAGCAGCAGCAGAACAGACACACGTTTGTGACGCTTACCTGACAAAGCATCAGCGAACCTTTCTGACCCCTTCGAACAACCAAAGGCAGAATAAACCGCACGAGCCCTAAGGTTCACGCTGGCTTCGGGCAGGGGAAGCCAGAGCGGCCCGATCCGACCCGGCCCCAGGCCCCGGCCGCAGTAAAGGGCCCATGGGAGCACACACGGCTGTCACCTCCGTCCGTCCGGAGACGGGAGCGCCCGCGGCGGGCTGGCTGCCGGCGGCGCCTCACTCACCTCCGAGTCCATGCCCTGCATCTCGTTCTTCTCCAGCTGGAACTGCACGAAGTCGTCGATGACGTGGAAGAGCTCGGGGGAGACGGCTTTGAAGTATTTGTGGTAGTCGTACTTGACCGCCAGCGACGCGAAGATGGTGTTGTTGACCAGCGCGGACCGCAGGTCGGTCAGGACGCCCGGGGAGTGCTGCCGCGGGTCTTCGTAAAGGTGCTTGGTTATGAGGTAGTCCAAAATCGCATCTCCCAGGAACTCCAGGCGCTGGTAACAATCTGCGGGCGGCCCAGGGCGCAGCCGTCAGCTCGCGCCTTCCCGCACGGTAACCCGCAGCGCGCGCGCGCGGGGCCCCAGACCCACCGCAGCCGGGCCTGGCGGGCTTCGGGCGAAGTTCACGCATCCGCTCCAGTGACAAGCCGTGTGACGTGCCACACTTACTAAAGCCTCTGGCAATTCAATCTGGCCAAGAAAGCGTATTTCGTATCTATAAACTGGGGGTCCTAAAAGCCTACGGTGGCCCAAAGAGCGCTGCGCGAGGGGACCCACACTGGCCAGGGGGCCCCAGCAGGGCGGCCTCCCAACCCCCCACCCTGGGCGCAGGGGCTGGGACTAGCGGTGCTGAGAGTGCCACCGAAGCGGCGGCAGCCTTCGGGCTCACACATGGTCTGGGGCCAGTCAAGCTCCGCCACGCAGACCCCCTCTGCCCCGGCCTGCTCCCCTCACAAGACTTCAGGCCTGGGCTGATCCCCGCGCACCCTGTGTTCCCCATGCTCTGAGCCCGTGCAACCCCGAACCCTGCGCTCTGCCCCTGTGCACCCCGTGTTCCCCAAGCTCTGCCCCCGTGTAACTCTCACACAGTGTGCTCTTTGCCCGCGCACCCCGCGCTCTGGCCCCACTCCGAGTGTGTACTCGGCCACCCTGCCTCTCCACTCCTGGGTCACAACAGCCACCCGGGAGGCCAGCCAGTATACTAGAAAACCCCCTTCTCTGCCTGCGCAAGAACTGCCGAGTTTGACCCGAACAAGGGGCCGGAGAAAGGAGAGTTGAGGCCGTGCGCAAAGACCCGAGGCACCACGGGTCGGCTGCCCACACCGGAGAAGGCCGCCAGCCTGGGGCCGGCACCCCTATCTCCTCACCATGCCCAGCAGGACCCGCGCAAGCCAGGAGGCTGGGGCAGGGACAGATGGGGCGGCGCGTCCCGGACACCTGGAGCTCCGAGGCAGGGCCCCTCGCTCCGCAGAGGGCAGGAGGGACCATCGGCTTCTGCACAAAGAGAAACAGCCCTCCGTGCTGTCGGTCCTACCGGTTCAGGGCCAGATCGGTTTTTACTTTTTGGCTTTGCGCTTTTCTGATCATCTTAACCTTTACCGTTTTCCTGAATACAGACCCTCTACTCTGCTCTGGGATTCCAGATTCAAGCACTTACTACTCGAATACAGAAAAAAGTACACAGGCTTTTCACAAGCTGAAGCTGACAGCAGTTCCAGGCACCTAATCTCCCTTCTAATCTGATGGCACCTAATCTCCCTTCTAATCTGATGGCCCGGGCGCCTACTAAATAGAAGAGGAAAACCTGGGGCGCAGTGCCGAGCGGAGACGGCAGCGAGAGCGAGAGCAAGGGCAATGACGCCCTCCCCGAAGAAGTTCCTTTTCATCGGCTCATCTTTAGATCCAAAGGGACCCTAAGAAAGGGAGGGGCCTTTCCGTTCAGGAAGAACCGTAAAAAGATGTGACAGTTCATCCAGAACGTATGAATGAATCAAGAACCAAAACCAGCACTGAACAGGCAGCAGAGAGCCACCGGGGGAAGATTCAAATGGGAAAAACACAACAGAATACGAGTGCTCAAACTCCCCTGTGCGGCACGTCTACGCGAGCGCGTAAGGAGGGCCAGGCCGCCAGCTGCCAAGGATAAGGCGCAGGGCTCCCAGAAAGCAGCGGAAAATAAAGCCACCTTCGTTTTTCTCTTGCTCCCTCCCTCCACCGTGCACGTTAAGCACCAAGCCTGTACATGCGTAGGATGCTTTTCTCTAACGGGGCCCAAGTAACGCAGTTAACGCAAGGTGGCCGTTTCAGAGAAACGGAGTGCGGGCTGGGGCTTCTTACCAGTGATAGTATTGTAGTGGTAGGAGGCATGTGTAAAAGCTTGCAGAAGGTAAGCCTTGTTCTTGAACCTGTAGTTGATTTTCTTCTCAAAATTCTCAAAACCCGATATCAGGTGATTCAGTGTTTTATCTGCGTCCGGATGATCAAACATGCATCGTGGTGGAATCTTCAAACAACCGTACTCCAAGTCTTTCAGGACGGAGGAGTGCGGGCCGGCCACCGAGGCGGCGGCCCGGCTCCCTGAAAGGGCCTTTTGTTGGCTGTTGAAATTCTCCCTGGCGGGGCACATGGCCTTTTCCCGATCAGTCCTTTTAATTACCGGGAGCACCTTGAGCCCCAAGGAGCAGAGGAACAGCTGGGCAGCCCTCTCCCCGCAGCTGGTCAAATAGCAGCCCAGCAGGGCCTCCACACAGTCGGCTATGCTTTTGTCCGCGATGCACTGCTCGGTGTGCAAGTCGTAAGAGATGGACTGTTTCCCTGTGTCGACACCACAGTTCTCTTCCGACGGATTCCAGAACCCCACCACAAAGTCATCCTCTTCGACGGCTTTGCTGGGATCCAGGTAGCACATGGCATCCCAAGAGCTATAGTCGAAGTCCTCGAAATCTGAGGAGAATGGCATGCTACCCAAGGAGGATTTTTTGGGCATTTTCCATTCGTATGCAGAATCAGTGGCTGAGAGAGGAGAAAGAGAAATTTTCTTTACGAAAGCTCCCGATCCCATTAGCATGTTATCTATGAATTTGATATGTTCCTGATCATACTCCAGGAAATCATCTTCGTCGTCGGCGTCCTCCTTTGGAACCTTCCACGTCAGATCCTCCCCCTCCTCATCGTCCTCCTCAAAGTCCTGGTCCAGTTTGCCATTAGCCAACATGCAGTCTTTTGTCTGAAACGACGGGGAATGGGGAAGGAGGGGAGACATAGCTGCTGTTTTTAAAAGGGTTTGAAACTCAATAAAAGCAAGGGTTGTGGATAATTTCAAATGACAACCACAAATACTAAAAGGCAACTTTAAAATCACGGCCATTTGTTTTCAATTAACATAAAATAAGTTATTTAATCATATAAACAAAGTAAAACATGTTCTTTGAATGTTCATTTTCTAAGTTATAAAATGACCTTTAGCCAGTATGAAGCTTTAAGTTAAGGATTTCTGTACATGGATATAAAGTTAAAATTAATGTCCGCGAGGCACGACTGCAGCTAAGGAGGCTTACTCCAGCAGACACACAATAAAAGCACTCACATGCCGATCACAGAGGTCTTCAATTTTGCTGACAAAGTTTTAAAATGTTTCGAAAAGATTTTCAAATTAATAAAATCAAAGTCCAGATGCAGAGAAAGCATTATCTGTGCAACGAAGAGTATAAATACATGAAAAAAGATCAACTGCTTTAAAAATCTGTAGAATATTAAAAATGGGCAATAGGGGTTCATGGGAAAGTTCTGTCCCCGCTTTCCACTGCAAATCAAAGTACATTTGCTATAATGTAAAACTGGATTGCTCTGCTTGAAAACTAAAAGTGATCACTGAACTAAGCTACGAATTTGGGAAATTATGCTTTTCCCCTCCACCGTGCTACAGTAATCAGAGGAACAGATTATAGCATAACTGACAAAAACAGAAGAAAATTTAGACTAACATGAAACACAACAATCCAATTTCTGTCAGAAGATCTTTGCTAATTCCAATTTCTTTGGCAAAAGCTTATTTGTGAATGACAACCTTAATAATGGGCTAGGATTCAGTAATGATGTAACTTTTTTGCAATGCTAGGAGATGCCAAATTTCTGTTGCGCAAGAAATAAAAAAAATAAAATAAAAAGACTTTCCTTTCCTTTGGGGCGAAAGGCAGGAGAGTTTGCTTCAATTTTGATAGCAACAACTTTCCAGAGATCTCCTGACAAAAGTTTTCAAACCTTGTCAAGTATTTTTTAAATACTGCAAATATTTCATTTTAAGTCGGACTCAAAAGGGACAGTGTAGTTGTTTGAAAATAAAGACGAGTAGTGAGCCAATGTAGACGTGTATGTATCTACAACAACATGCCTGAATTTTTTTTTTTTTTAATAAAAAAAGTTTATAAAACGTTTTCAAGATTACGGAAGAATATGAGAAAAAACTATAGTGGCAGACCTCTAGGAACTACTTCCTGCAAAAAGCCCTGTACTCTTCGAGGTAACATGAGCTGTTTTGACTACTGTTTGGTCCTTGCACTAAAAAAAGGCAAACTGCCATTAAAACAAAAAATCAGAGTGAAAAAACGTTTCATTAAATAGAATCTTCGTATATCTTCGGTAAGATACTCCTATAGTCTGAAATTGGCAATATACACACACCAACCCCAAAGACTGGGTTTTATCACAAATAAAGCAAAGTTCTTTAATGCCTCTGGGTTTCAGTTTCTCCATCTGCGAAATAGCGGGGTCCGACCTCCCTAAATAAGAACACTTCAGGCTCTTCAGAAAAATGCCAGCATAAAACTCTTTTCGCTTCCAGTTCAAGTCAACCTTCTGAGTTATTACCTTCTGCACTCGCATGCAAAGGTTTCTCTTAAACCTACGTGGGGAGGAGCGAGGCGGGTGAAGCAGGAATGCACACGCTCTCCTGTGTCTGTTTCAGTAAGCATAAATTACTAAGTGAAAATACGAACAGGATCTTTAATATATTCCAAAAGTCACGGTGCCAGGTCATCAGAAATGTTAAGGAAAATAAGAAATGTCTGTTCTAACTTAAAACAAAATTTTTTTTAATCAAAAGGACTTGTCAATGTCACCTTGATGCTAATTTTTTTTTAAAGAACCGATTATATTATGAACCTACTTACAAGGCAGAATAATTATCACTGGAATGTTTTTCATAGATATGCAATATTTTCTCTAAAGTTCTCAAAATCTACATATTTTCCCTCTAAGGTTCCACCCATTTCTAAATCAGGAACGAATATAATTTTTCTAACCCAACTTGCATTAAAATATTCTGATGCTTTTCTCCAGAGGAGGTCAATTTCTGTAAGACACTGAAATCATCTCAAATACTGCACGAGTTAAAAATATACTCAATGAAGAGATAAAAATCAAAACAGGGTCGCAGAGCATCAGGCCTGGAAATATTTGAGCCCAGGAATCGGGACGCGCGTGTCAGAAAGAAGACGTGAAGAGCACATATTTAGGAGGCATAATCTGTGAAAGAAACAGTATTCTCAGCGTTGGCCTGGCGGAAAAATGAAGTAACAACGATCTAGTTTCTCATTAATGCAAAATAAATGTCCGAGAAAGCAAAGTGCCAGAGAGATCGCCTTTGAGTTTGGAAGAGGCGCTCTCGTTCCCCAGCCGCCCACCACGGGGAGGGACCGACCGCTCTGCCGGCTCACGAGCCCTCCGAGGTGCCCTCTGGTGGCCTTCAAGACGAGACAAAATGAAGCCGCTGCAGCTAATACTTGGTCGTCTCAAGTCCCTGGCAAAATTTAAACGGTTTCCAAAAAACTACAACCTTTAGGATCTTTTTTTTTTTTTTTTTTTTTTTTTTTTTTTTTTTTTTTTTTTTCAGTTCACTAGAGAAGGCCTAGTCCTGAGAAATCCCTGAACTACAAAGCAAGGCTTTACTGAAATTAATGACTTCATAGATAGGAGATCACAGACCACTGAAGAGTCATTTTATTGAACAGAGCTAAGGGTCTGTCCTCAATTGTAATACAGGGTAACAAAGTGAAATATTACGGAGTTTTGTTTTCTTCTTTTTCAGAGTCACAACATCATATACCTCTGGAAAAGGAAGATGATAGAATTGTCCCCACCCCCCAAAAATATCTAACACTGTTTCTGAATTCAATGAAGAGACAGTCTCCTTAGAGAAATTAACACATCAAATTCCTACTCTATTACAAATATGCCACGGAAAAGAAACAGAAAATTAAAAGAACAAAATTCTCCCCGTTCACCAAAGTAGAAGTCCTTCCAGTTACCAAAAACTTACCATTTCATCTTTTTCCCATTTATCTGTATTACTTTTGTCTTGGTTTACTACATAACCAGGAGGAAGCCAATTCACGGGGGGATCAAATATGGACACCACCATGCGGCTGGGCAGTCCCTTCTTTTTTCCAAGCCGATACAGATTACAGTTGCTGACCTTTAGCAGAAAAAACGTGTAAGACACTTATCCATAAATGCCCACTGCTGGAGTTCACACCAGGCAAATAAACACATTTTTAGTTAAATGTTCGTATCACCACAACTGGTCATCAATTATAAAGAACGTACAGGTTTTCTGCCTATTCACGGTAAGAAATTTTACGTGCCCGTGTATTCTACAACCTTTAGTGTCGTTAGATGAATACTTCTGGATATAAAAACGCAGATCAGAAAAAACTAATACGCAAATTCCCTATAAAGTCAGAACAAACAATTCACACAATTTCAAACTTTAAAAAAAAAAAACACAACCTGATGATATCAAATGCAAACTGCCAACTGGAACTATCAGAATAGAAAAGAATCCCTGTAAAGCATCTAAGGTGTCACAATATTCGTAATGAAATAAATGGGGGGAAATGCCACAGACTCTAGCTATGTAAGTGGAAACTGGCACTGAGTAAATGGAGCTAAAATCATTTTATACTCCTAAGCCACAAATGACATTTTTGTTCAATCATTTTAAAACACAGCAAAAGGTAATAACTCCGTGTTTATTCACATCAATAAAACAGCTTCATTGTTTGCCCTGTGCTGTGTTTTTCCTACAGACCCCATGTCCTCCCTAACTCACTCACTCGTTAACATTTCTACCTAGAAACGTCTAGTAAAAACCTGGAAACAAGGATCTAGAATGGTCCACGCCATATGCATTTTCTATAAACCAGGTTCCTTTCTACTAAGTACTTCACGAGCCCTTTCTCTGGGGAACTCGGGACCACTGAACAGGTACCCACATCCCTGAGAGAACAGTCAGAAAACTGAGGGACTGCTAGTCCCTGCAGGCGACACAGCTGGGGGGGGGGGGGGGGGGGACCGGTGTCTGCAGGTGACACTATGTGAGGCACGCTGTCAGAAACGTAAGGGCTCTGATAAACGCTAGCATCCTTTTCCAGAGCCGGAGAATCACAGCATCACAGCTGGCAACAGGAGGACAGAGACGGCGATCCCATCCACTCAGATGGCACGGGTGGCGGGACGGAACGGGAAGAGAGAACTAGAGGTCATTCGACAAGCGGGGGGAGGGCCGTGAGAGAGGAACAACAGCGGGGGTGCGTGCGTGGAGTCCGTGTGAAGACCGGCGAGGGGCTCAGGCCTGGTCAGGACACCAGACCGAGCTGAGGGAATAACGATGATCTCTACTGGAAGCAAGGAGCCAAAGCTGTCCGGCAGACGCAGAGATGCTATTTCGGAAACGTACGCTGATTTCTTCCTTACCTAACAGAGTCCATGTGCTGTCGCTTTATACCGATTCTCAGCCTCTGATGTTTTGTTCCTACAACCACCTTCTTGGTGACCCCATTTGTTCTGACAGCTTTGATTATCACTCTCATGAAGACTATTCGCCCAAGCCATAGTTCAGTCCTAAATTCTCAACGATCCCAACGTTTCACTTCATTTTCCACGAGGTCCGAAAACCCTAATCCTCACCCCGATTCCTCCATTTGTGCTCCTCCCACCAAGAGCGCCGCCACGGCCCCAGCCTACACAAGGGCACCCCGGCATCACGGCTCTCTCTGCCCCCCAATCACATGGAGGGGCAGTGAGAAGGGCGGTGGAAGGAACGGGTTCTCGCTTCCGACGCCCGCCCGACTGGTAAGTTAAGTAACCTTACGCCAACCAAAAGCAACCTCTCCAGGCAGGAGTCTCCCCACCTGCAAAATGGAGGCGTGTTATCCAGCCCCCAGGGGCTCAGTGAGAAGAGTAAATGAGGTCTGTAAAACGCTCAGTGTAGTGTCCGGTGTTACAGAGTGACATCGGAGGTAGGGGAGTGTGACGGTGAAGAGCACGGTCTCTGAAGCCGCACTGTCTGGGCTCCGCCACGTACTTGCCACGTGACCCTGGGGCAAGCTAACACCTCCTGCCTCAGGATCCTCGTCTACAGAAGAGGGATGATAAAAGTGTATACAATTATACATAAAATCTAAAAAATGTAATAAAAGTGGGGCGCCTGGGTGGCTCCGTCGGTCGAGCGTCCGACTTCGGCTCAGGTCATGATCTCGCAGTTTGTGGGTTCGAGCCCCGCATCGGGCTCTGTGCCGACAGGTCGGAGCCCGGAGCCTGCTTCGGATTCTGTGTCTCCCCTTCTGTCTGCCCCTCCCCTGCTCGTGCTCTATCTCTGTTTCTCAATAATAAATAAACATTAAACATTTTTTTTTAAATGTAATAAAAGTATGCAGAATTTAATTAGGTCACTGATATAACACATAAGGCTGCAAAAGTAGCGTCTGGCTGGAGGCAACGCTTAGGAAGTGTGAGCTTCAACTCTCATTCCCCCCGAACTACTACTCGCCTCGGTCCCGACCTCACTGCTGGAACTCGAGAACCATCCCCTACTCTGCCTGCTTACACTCTGCAAAAGCCCAGCCGATCGCCCCGCTCGGTCTGGCTTTGCGCTTGGACTCAGGCCGCACTCTGCTACCAGAGCGATCACGTACAAGCAGCGCTTCCAGAACGGTAAGAGTCCCTGACGCGAAAAGTGCCCCCGACATCCCAAACACGCGCAAACTCCTGGGCCCAGCCTTGAACATCTTCCACGACAGAGCTTCCCACACCTGCCCTTTTGCCCTTTCCTCTGCCTGCTGCCACAGTTGGGTCACTGAGTGCTGCCGACGCGCCCTGCCGTCTGTTCACTGTTTACACACTAGGTGCCAGTGCACCTCCTCCACGAACGCCTTCTCCTCCCAGCGACGGTCCTTCTCTCTGAGCGCCCAGGGCAACGAGCAGCTTTGTAAGTTACACGTCAAGCACGGACGTGTTGCCCTGTGACACCTCTTTTATCATCGTTTAAACATTTTACCTTCGCCGCTTCCCTTCCTGAAATCTTAATTCCCGCTGGCGTGGGGTCACACCCTTCCTCTGGGCTCTCGGTCCCCTGCGTGCTCGGAGCTCAGGCGTCACCCCCTTTATGCTGGGGAGTCACCGAGCTCCCCTCCCTTCCTCACTCTCCAAAAACCCTGAAGACGAGCTCCTCCGCGCAAGACCTGTGTGTTCTCCAGGTCCGGATGCCTTGTGTGCCAAGACGGCATTCTCCCAGATAAACTTTTCTCTCCACTGAAATTAAAGCGCGAGCACCCTCCCCACCAAACAACCACCCCTTCGTACCTCTTCACACCCCCTGGGGACCCAGCGAGCACACGTATTCTCGCAAACGGTCCCATCAGAGCTGAATTTCCATCCGTCCACAAGGCACACACAGATCAGCTGACGCCCCAAACCTTGGGGGCTTCATCAGGGAAAGGCAGCCTCCCGTCTGAGCGATCCCTCGTCCTCTGAAACCAGCAGGCGCGTGACCCCACGTCCTAGGCACGCCGAACGCTTACTCTGAGTGAGAAACACGGTATTTCTTACCTTTTTGCTTCTCATATAGGAAAGGCGGCCCTCGTGCGCGTCGGGGTAAGTGCAAAACAGGTACGTGGTGATGGCATGCTTTAGAAAGGAGTCACCAAGCATTTCAAGCCGCTCCAGGTTAAACCCATCGCTAGCATTTGAAAGGGTCAAAGCCTGCAGAATGAGTCCAGGGTTCGGGCCAAGAGTCCTCGAGGAGTAGCCGGGACAAGGGCTCTGCGCAGAAGCCCTCCCGTCCCAGGGCGCGGGAACAGCTTCGTTAGTACCGGGCGTCGTGGCCGCTGCGGGACTTCCATCTGAGGTAGATGTGTTAGCATTTCCATCAAGGTATTTGTTACTCAGGAGAGTACATTCATCGCTGGGCTTGGGCTGGTTCTCGTAACTGTATAAATTCTGAATGGGATATGAGGTAGTTGGTTGTACAGGTATTTCCTGCTTGTAGTAACTCAGCTGATTTCCTTGGCAAAAGTCTCTGTTCGCTAAATCGCAACTGCCATTGGCAAGGTTTTTATCGTACGAAAGACCGTTGGTCGCCGTGAGATCTGTCGAAGCTTCGATCTGGAGCTTACCGGGTGACTCACCGAAGAGCGTTCTGCAGTTCACAGACATTTGGTCGTGATTTTCTAGAGAGGAGGTTCTAGTAGCACCTTGACGTGCAGCATTTTCAGGGACTACAATTGTGCTGTGCTTACAGTAATTATCGTTTTCAGCCCAAGAGGAGCTAGCAATTGAGATGAAGGACTTGCTGTCGATAGATTTCTTCCACCCGAAGTCTAGGTTGGGGTATCTGCAAAGACATTTTTATGACTTCGTCAGACCCTTCAAAAGGGCGAGGCTCAGAGCAAGAACAACGTCAACGACATAAATAAGTAAAATAACGATCCCTCCAAACGAGCTCCCACTTTGGAGGAGAAACAAGTTCCCGAGGCAGAAATCACCATATCGGCATTCTGCCCCGAGTACGTCAGGCAGCGGGACGTGGCTCCCTGCACCGCTTTAATTCGCCGCTCGACAGCAAGCGCGGGGTGGGGGCGACGCGCGGGGTTGGCAACGGGACCCGGAGCCACCGTCTGGGCCGGGATCCCAGGCCCTCCGGCTAACGAGCTTGTGATTTACGGAACCTCTCTGCGCCCCGGCTTCCCACACCCGGAAGAGGGCCGACCACTCCTACCCCATAGGGCCGTCCTAGTGATTAAATGACCCAAGACAGGCCACGGCATCCGAGCCAGTGTTTGACGCCGAGGTAAGTACTCAGCAAATGCAGCTGTGACTACTACTGTCCTGTTTTAAGATTCCTTAATCCCTGGAACCACTGTGGTCTCCACAATTGGGTAACCGAAATTAATCTGAGTGGTTAAGCCAATAATTTCCTTAGAACGCGGAAACTTTCCTAGCGGGAAGAGAAAAAGACAAAGAACATCTTGAGGCAATTGCCATTTAATATAGACTTGATTTTACAGAAGAGGAAGTGGTCTTCCAATGTCAGCAGGGCAACCAAGAACTGTTCCCGTTTTCGCTCTGACCGCCATCACTGAAGGAGGAACGACCCCCTTCTCCCTGTGCAACTTCACAAGAATGTAGGAATCAAAGGATGCATTTATTTCATGTATGAGACATCCGTGCTTTCTTTTTAAGCTTTTAAGAACTGTTTTATATAAAATTAAAATCGGAACTTAATTCAGTTCTTTTGCAAACAGGCTTCCATAACCCCGCGCTCCTTCTGGCTGACAGCACAGGCATACCTAAAATCCACGGGAAGTGATCGGACTCCCACGCCAGCATCGCTGGCCGTTTGGGCTCTTAGCTCCTCTGCGGTCAGAAGGCAGTGAAGGCGGTAGAGTATGCTAGGGAGACAGACTGCTTTTCTCCACAGTGATGCTGGAATCGGATGTATAGCACAGAGCTCTGGAACCAGGATCTTTGAATAAGCAAAAATGTGGACAAATATAAAGCAAACACACAAAAGAATAAAAAATTAAAGACCAATTTCACTAATGGATAAAGACAAAAATCACGAATATTAATAAAGTCTTACTTCTAAAAGCAATTCCTTTTAAGGCTTAAGGCTGCATGGGATTTAATCTAGGATTTATAAGGATGAATCGAATTTTGCCAGTGGACCAAGTATCAAAGGAAACCCATCATATTTCCAAAAAGCCATTCAAATACAGGTTCACACACGGTATTAGCTAAAACATGACAAAGCCTAAGTGTTGGGGATCTTCCAAAAACTTCCTAAGTCACTCAGTTCAACCTGCTGATAAAGAAGTCAAACCTAACGTTTCAAAATAGTAAATGATGCTAGAGTAATAGTGAACACATTACCTGTTTATTCTGCAGACTTTCCCACTTGGCTTTTCTCTTCTCAGCACTGCTTAGAGGAAGGGCTTTCCCCTTCTGATTCAAATGGCGAGGTGTCAAAAGATTAAGTCTGTAAGAATTTCAAAATATTTTTATCAAACAAAAAGAAGTATCCCCCCCCACCCCGACCCTTCACAGGGGTTCTCTAGCTCAGTGTGCCTACAAATCACCTGAAGAGCTCATTTAAACTGAGGACTCCTGGACCCCACCCTGGGCAGTTCTCTGTGCAAAGAATCTCCCGGTTTCAGAGTTGACAGGCAGGCAGTGGGACAGTGACCTCCTATGGTTGTCTGCCAACCTCTGCAAATAGTGCCTCAGGTGACAGTCAAATGCCATCTCTGAAACCCCTTACCTCGAAGATGTGTGGTCCACATCCAGCAGTGGCTGGTTGAGATTGGTCAGATCAAGGTTATACTTTGTTTTATAATATTCTGCAAAGGTTTCATACTCAGGGGAAGGAAATTTACTCAGTGGGGTAAGATCAGTGTATACATCAGCTACATAAAATCGATGAGGCTGATCAAAATTACGGTATCTAAAAAAGAAAAGCAATACATTTGAGGCAACTATTCTCAACGCGTGTTTTTAATATGAAAATGCAAATTATGATTTTCAAGTTCAAAGGTTAAAAACAAATAGCGTTGATGAGCAGTTCAATTCCAAATAATATATTTCAAGTGGGTGTAAGATGAAAATTATGTTTATATTAAGTAAAAATCGCTTCTCCATTCCACCCTACGTTACGGTTAACCTCATTCTAAAGATCTCTGATCACTCTGATTAACACATGAAGGCTACATGGCACCTTTCAATCTCTCTTAGTGGCACTAACATATACGGGGCAGAGCACTTCCAATATCCTACCAACCGAGTGAGCAAGCACTCTGCATTACAAACAGGCTACACATGAAAGGTGCCTGCCACATACATGCATGAAGGCACCACTCATGTATTAACAGTCTGATGACAGCTGACATTTAAAACAGGACTTTAAGGGGCGCCCGGGTGGCTCAGCCGGCTAAGCATCGGACTTCAGCTCCGGTCATGAGCTCCCGGTTCGTGGGTTCGAGCCCCGCGTCGGGCTCCGTGCTGACAGCTCGGAGCCTGGAGCCTGCTTCGGATTCTGTGTCTCCCTCTCTCTCTGCCCCTCCCCTGCTAGCTAGCACTCTGTCTCTGTCTCTCAAAAATGAATAATAATCAAGTCAAAAAAGTTTTTAAATATGATTTTAAGTTGCAAAGAAGAAAAAACAGAAATCAGGAAAGACCGAGTTACAGCCAGTACTCTAATTTTATGAAAGGTTCCTATATTTAAATTTATTGCTCAGAACTATCCCCTAAATTCTTACAAAATAAGAAAAAAAGCATCCTGATTTACTACTTCATTGCACTTAATACCATTATTCCCTATGAAAAGTTTAAGAAGCTATTGTTTACAATCAAATTCTTTAAGACTTTGGGGATTAAAACAAGGAAGATTTTGGGGTGCCCGGGTGGCTCAGTCAGTAAGCATCCGACTTCAGCTCAGGTCATGATCTCACGGTTCGCGGGTCTGAGCTCTGGGTTGGACTCCGCGCCGACAGCTCAGAGCCTGCTTGGGATTCTCCCTCCCTTCCTCCCTCTCTCCCTCCCCTCGCTCTCCCCTTCCCCTCGTTCTCTAAGAAATAAACTGGAAAAAAAAAAAAAAAGACGATTTTAAGAAAGCCTTTCAACAGCGTGTAGATGATCTGAACTTCACAAAATCAAACCCCTCCACCCACAGCGTTCCAGGTGTGGTTTCTCACAAGAGGAAGTCAGCTAGGGAGAACAGGCCCCACCAGGAAGAGACACCTACGCTTCCCAGGAGATGCATCAACGCCACGGCCCCCTGGGTTTCCACCCGAGGGAGCTACTCTCCCGAAACAAAGTGCCACCCCCGCATGGCGCTCCGCTTAGATACTCACCTCGGAATGATGACTGCGTCCTGGTAATCTTCTAATTTAAAAACAAAGGGTGTTTCTTTTGAATACTTTGTGCTGGGAATGCCTATGCGAGCTTCAGATTTCTCAATATCTTCCATGAATTTAAAGTCAATGTCCAAAGTGCTGGAGTCATTCACTTAGGGAAGGAAAAGACTCTTTAGCTCGTTAAAATAGAATACGGGTGGGATTCTTACTTAAGCTACGTATTCGAGCAGGTGTCTAATTTGGAGTGGTCTCTAGTAGCCACCATAAACTAACGTTACGCAAGCTTCCCTTTTCCAGCTAGTATCGGCCAACACGTCAGAGTCTGGGCCCTTCTTACCAACGTTAAGAGGTAGAACACAGTATGCTGAATCAGCGTCTGTGGGTTTAAATTCTAGTGCAGGTTTTTCAAGCCGAAGAATATGAGAGAATATATACTGGTGAAGTCTTGTGATCAACTCAAGCATTTGGAGAGACAACGTGAAACCAGACTTCTTCAACTCAATGGATATGGTGACCTCTCCGGAGCGCGTGTACACAGGAAAGTGCGGGATCTTAGCAAAAAGAAAAATCAAGCATCCCCAGAGTTAACAGGTATTTTATTCCATCACAAATATTTCATTTCAGAGGGGGAACGACGTTGTCAATCCGGGGAACAGAAGGGACACCTTGACTCTTAAGTAGCAAACATCCTGAGGTAACAAGAGATGGCTTTAGCCGTTCCCTCTTATCGATAGCAGTCCTAAAGAACTGTCTACCTGAGGTATGGGTTTGGCCGTCAGTATTCCAAAGCATCTGGTGGTATCCTCAGGGGGATAGAGCTTCCGCCTTCTGAAGTTGAGTTCATCAGGTAAGGGTGTCGTCAGAACCATTCCTATCACATACAGGTAACAGGGCTGATCGGGTTTGGGATAGCTATCCCTCAAACATTCCGGAATCTAAAATTAGAAAGAAAACTTAAGCAAGTGTGACAGACAGCCTCTTGTCCAGACACTGGCCAACAAACAAACAAACAAACTTACTTGCAGCTTTCCTAAAAGCTGATGAGAAAAAGGGAAGCAAACACCCAGGGCAGGAGGCCTCATTCCTTAACTCTGGGGGACAGCCAGCGCTGCTCAGGCCTGGGCTCTGGTGGCCCATGGTCACCTCCCTCATAACGCACTGCCGACTCTAACACCAAAACTTTATAAAAACGACCAAACCCTGTAGGCATTTTCTTAGAAACGCTCTTCATTTCAGCTCTTTCTTTTGATCAGAGAACTCTTCCTTGGGGCTTTTAGTCTTTACTCACTGCAGAATAGCAGAAAACATGCAAAATTTTACAAGTCCCACGTAACTGTATTGCTCAGATATCGCCTCTACTATTAACTTTTTGACAGACTGCATCGTCTTCCAGATGTTTTCCTGTGTGCAAATGTGGATCAACATACACACACACGTGTGCTTCATCACCCACGGAATGACACAACAAAGACTGTCGTCACCTTATTTCTTTTATCTCCAATTCCTACAATGAGAACATCTTTCTTGGTCAATACAAATCTGTATCATTTTTAATGGCTATGTAGTTATAGGAGTAAACTGCAGTTTAACGGGCCTGAGACTGTTTCCAAGCTCTCAATAGTCACACGACCCTACGCAACAGAGTCGTGAAGTTTCTGAGGCTCAGGGGCATAAATTGCACCTGTAGTTAAAAGGCACAGAAATACTGGTGAGGAGACAGGGTTATCAGAATGCCAGATAATCCAGAACGTATCTATTGATTAAAACTTATTATGACTGACGACCTTTGTCACAGGAAAACAAGCCCAGTGGTCTCCGGGGTAAATGTCGAGTAGGAAGACAGAGAAGCAAGCCCTTGAGGAAAACTGAGGGAAACAAGCATTTCAGGGGACAGGTTAATATTCATAATTTTTAAACAACTGACATGATTTTGAATCTTGAAAATGCTCGGCTGAGTGAAAACCATCTGAAAAGTAAAATGCTCAACAGCGCTGCAAAAATAAAACAGAAGAACCATACTTCTAGGCTAGGATGAAAAATACACAGCAAAATTTTGCTTTTGTTTGCAATTCTTTTTTTTTTTTATGTTTATTTTCTGAGAGTGAAAGAGACAGAGCGTGAGCGGGGGAGGGGCAGACAGAGAGGGAGACAACAGAATCCCAAGCAGACTCCAGGCTCCGAGCTGTCAGCACAGAGCCCGACACGGGGCTCAAACCCACGAACCGTGAGATCATGACCTGAGCCGAAGTCGGACGCTCAACTGACTGAGCCACCCAGGCGCCCCTGTTTGTAATTCTTAGGGGGGAAAATCTTAGCAAGTATTTTTTCAATAAGACCTTCAGTCCAGTACGGCTCTGCCCAGAAGTCAGACTCAGGGACGTCTTAGCACATGAATCCTGCCAGGATGCCATAGAGTTAGCCAGACGCAGCACGCTGGCGGAACTGGCTTTGACCGCAGGCGGGCCACATCCTGGCTCCCGACAAATCCTTGTGCGCCCGCACCTTGAGCGGGCACCCTTCCACCTGCCTATCTTACCGTGCAAATCCTCTCCTGTCTTAGTCCCGAACGCAAATGAGGCCAACGTCTTCCCGCTAAAGGGAATGAAACAAAAAACCTCTCTAAAGGGAATGAACTCATTCTGGATAGAATTTGACAAATGAGGCCAAACTCCTTTTGAGGAGAAATACAAAAGCAATGTCCTAAGTGGGAAAGAGCACAGAGCGCACACGGGAACAAGGAGGGGCTGGCTGATCTGGCAGAAGCTGTGATGGGAGGAAGCGAGCTGAGTTCCCAAGCGGGCCAAATTACAAGGCCTGGGAAGCCAAGCAGGGGAATGCAGATCTGAGGTAGCAGGAAATAAAAAGTCAGAAAGGTTAGATTCATATGCAGTTCTAACCGATACTAACTGCCTTTGGGTAGCACTGTCTTCGCTTTGTGGAACCTGGTCTTCCTGGAACGCTGGTCTCTTCTTCGTCATGTAAATCGAGCTCTTCTTCATATTTAACCGTCTCTTTCCCAACTGGCATCAAATGGTCATCCAGTTCACCTAGGAAATGTACCGAGAATTAACATAAACAATCCGGATTTTGCCTAATAAGTGAATAATCCGGAGCGGCACGATATTAGAAAGCAACGGGAAGGGGGGTGAAAACTAAAGCAGCTTTGCTTTAATAGCACAGCGTAATCGGACGTGATGCTTCAGGGAGGCTATTTTGGCGCTCATATAGTCAACGTGAGGATTACAAACTCTGCTCCAAGGTGCAGAAATAACGTCTAAACGAGGCACAGCACAGGGAGTATAGCGCAAGGTGCTGGAATAGCATTGTATGGTGACAGATGGCAGCTACGCTTGCGGGCTGCGGGGGGCACAGCATAACGTCCAGACTTGGGGAACCACCATGTCCTACGCCAGAAAGTGATGTAACATCGTGTGTTAACTACACTTCAATTAAAAAAAAGAAAAGTGTTTTTAAATGACGTCTGAACAGAGAAACAGCACTCTGTTTTACAAAGTCTATGGACAACAAGACTTCCCTTTTTTTTTAAGTGGATTAATTTGTAAACTAAACCGATCTGAGAAAACGACCCATTAAAACACAAACGCTCACGACTCAACAGTTACAAGACCTTTATGTGTTGAAAAGGGGTCAGTAAAGGGAGCAAATACATTACACGTATTCGCAGGGAAGCTGTGGCCTCAAAGCTGGTACATGTCACAGGACCCTCACGTTACACCGTATTTACGTCCGTCCGTACGTCCGCCTTCACCAGAGCACAAGGAGAGCAGCGAGTTCAGAGGTCCTTGATGTGCTTTTGTTTTACAAGGGTTTCAACCTTAGTTTTATCTGCATGTGCTTTTCAATCACTCTTACCAATTTTGTGCAGTTTTTCACAGCAAATGAGAGCTACAACTCTTTCGGCCAATCGTATACAGCTCATTGGTGGACCCTGAAAGTAACAAAAAACATTTCCACTGTACATGAGCGTAGCTATCGATCATTAGCACATATGACTTCTAGGAAGCCTCTGCCCCCGCATCTTTAAAGCTGAACTTTACCAGAGTAAAGTTCTTCATTTTGAAAAATACCAACAAGTTTGTTAAAACCCTGATTTCCACAGTTGAGACGGCCATTTTTAAAAGTCCTGCCCAGTAAAACCTAGATCGGCTATGACGGAGATCTGACAATTTTAATGAATACAGATTTCAGTAAGATTTTAACGTATCTTAGTTCGACTAATCTATGAAGAGGAAACAAACTAAAGATCTATCAAAATGTGACTATAATATACAAATTAACAGCACAAATTTTCATACGTAAGAGAAATTAGTCATCCCGGAATATCTGGAAATCAGTACTGGGACCAAGCACAGCAGTTACACAGAGGCAGATTTTCGGGTGAACAACCAAACAACTACAAAAGCCCAAACATATTTAATAAATTCTGCTCCTGGAAGTATCTTAAGCCACAGCTGAGGGATTCGGTCAGAAACGCTGACACTAGTAAGATCTCAGAGGAAACTTTAGGGGTCATCTAGCTATACAGTCTGTTGAGGATCTGAACGTGCAGTTGACCACAAAAGAGACTTATAAACCTTCCCTGGAGAACAGATTTAAAGTGGGGCGCCTGGGTGGCTCAGCCAGGTAAGCATCAGACTTTGGCTTGGGTCACGATCTCATGGTTTGTGGATTCGAGCCCCGTGTCAGGCTCTCTGCTGTCAGTGCAGAGCCCACGTCAGGTCCCATCTCCCTCTCTCTGCCCCCATCCCCCGCACACTCTCTAAAATAAATGAACATTAAATAAAATTAAGAAAAAAGAAAAAAAAAGATCTAAACCTAAGTTACCTATAACTTGCATTGGCGTAGAGAAGCTGAAAAAAAAAATCCATTAGTGACATATTTTCAAGGCACAATCATTTCTTTTTCTAAACTTACAACAATGGAGGCTCGAAGAGGTGAGTTAATTGGCAGATAAAGAGTTGAATAAAATGTACCATCAGGCAACTCTCGAGTTCTACATTTAGGAGCTAGATGAGTAAACGGATCACTTGGTAATCTAGCACAGTATCTGTGAAGAAAAAGAAATTCTGATGCTAAATCCACAACTGAGAAATAGGGGAAAAAAATCCGTTTTGGTAGTCATATCCTAAAGTTTAAGTTTTTATGTCCCTCTTCCCCTCTATTGGATTGGTACTGACACGGGAAGTGTGAGTTCACTGCTTCCAACTTTCAGTAAGATGGAACAGTGCCGTCCAAAAGAATCGTCTGCCGTGACAGTCGGTGTCAACACTGTCCAACAGAGCAGCCACGGAGCACTTGGAATGCGGTGAGGACAGCTAGGAAACTCACTTCGAATTTTATTTAATTTTGATTAAAGCTAAAACTCGAATTTAAAAAGGCACGCCCAGGGCTACCATACCGCACAGAAAAATATTGTGCGGAGTCCGTAAGGAGAAAACACCGCCAGGGTTTGGTCCTTACTGTCTTATGTGCCCTGGCAAACTACCAGGCCCCGCCCAAGGAGGGCGTCAGAAGAGGCCGGAAGGACAGCCCGGTACTGACATATCGCAAAGCATCAGAACAAGAAGACCCCTGCCCCTGCCCTCCCACCACACCCCACAGCAGTACAAGGAGAGGGATACGGAGCAGGACGCTAGCTTCGAGGGCGCTGAGACTGAGCAAGGAGGGCGCTGGCTGGGACAGGAAGGTAATCCGGTGGGGGCAGGACTCACACAAGGAGGGCAGCAGAATGAGCAGCTGCCCTGCAAGGTCATGACCCGTGCATTCGGGACACCCAAACACGGCGGCAGCCCTGCGAAGTAGGAGACTGCCTACGTTCAGGGATACTAAACATAAAAGTAACTATTTTGAGGACAGTGGGAGTCCTATCTCTCACTATGGAAGAAGCCAGAAACAAAGATGGAAAAGAGGAAAGCTAGAATGAACCCTGTGGTGTCATGGTACAAGTGGACGTAACAACATAAAGGTAGTCAGGTATGCAAATAAATACAGCTATAAATGTGCATGTGAATACACACACACACACACACACACACACACACACACACACGTAGTTTCTAGCTCTGTCGACTAAGGAGACTGACAGTAGAATGAGAGGCAATGAACACACTTAGTGCTCAGACTTTGGTTTCTAAACACCACTCATCTGCCACTAAAAAAAACCAGAAGCTTTTGGAGAAACAGCCAATATCTAGGCTGGGGCAAGGAAAATAGGAGTTAAATCTAGAACATCTTAGTGTGCCATAAAATAAGGAAGTGACCAAAGAACAATGGTGATGTAAAAAAGACTAGCTTGAAGGGGCTTCCACGGCCAAATCTGAGATAACTGTAACATCAAAACAAATAATAAATGATAGTGAGCAGAATATAACCCACTCAATAAAACAGAAGTCCCTCAGTTCGTATGAGATAAAAACATTGATAAATAAAAAGAATAAATGAGTGGAGAAAAGAGAAAGCTCTTCGTCACGGCAGAATGCCAGCAAACAGAACAACGGAATCAGAAAATCACAATTTTGCAGATGCCACAGCAATGATCAATTCAGGCCAGAAATATCAATGGATACTTAAACTAATGGGTGAAACCAGGAAGAGGAATAAATTTTACATGGTCTTAAACCACCTCCCCGTGAACTACACACTCACTATGGAGGGAGAAAAGGCAACTTTACGACAGAGGAAGCTGCAGACCTTCTGGAAGTGATCAGGAGCCACCACCACCAGTAAGAGCACAAATCGACACTTGAGTGCGCCTGGCGGGATGGGATGGGAACAGAGCATCCCTTCTGTGATGTGCTGGCTCCAGTGCACAACCTGGGGCTCAATGTCGGAAAGAGCAGATAAAGCCACGCTGAGAGACGGCCTACAAAATGGCTGGCCTATAAGCTTCAAACGTTTCAAGGTCATTAAAGTCAAGGAAACTCAAGAATAATTCCAGGCTGAGGGAGACTGGAGAGATGAGAAAAACACACACAACTCCTGATCCTGGATTGGATCCTCTCCCTACCAAAAACATTCTCGCGAGACCTGAATGGGTCTCTCTGGGTGGGGGGCGTATGAGAGTTCTCTGCAGTATCCTTGCAACATTTTAAAGTGTGAAATGGTTTCAAATTAAAGAGTTAAAAAAAAAAAATCTTACGTCGGTTGCTGCTTTATTTTGCCTCTGCACAGAAACTTATCCTGATACATAGTCTAGGCATGTAGCTGCTTTTCTTAGTTCTTGGAAAGGTTATTACCAATTCTGGACAAAGTAAATTAGCCCATGATCAGAAATACAAGTTAATGTATCATCATCTTGTAATATCGCAGCTAATGGAAAATTCAACATCCCTCAACGTTCATGGCATGAGATTTTTCAGGATAAAAAAAAAAAAAAATTCAGTGAGCAAGGTAAAATTAAATTAAATCTAATTAAAAGAAGCATCCCTTGGGGCACCTGGGTGGCTCAGGCAGCTGAGCGTCCTACTTGAGCTCAGGTCGTGATCTCATAGTTCATGAGTTCGAGCCCTGCGTCAGGCCCCACGCTGACAGTTCGGGGCCTGCTTGGGATTCTCTCTCTCTCATCTCTCTCTGCCCCTCTCCAACTTGTGCTTTCTCTCGCTCTCAAAATAAATAAATAAACTTAAAAAAAAAAATCATGCCTTCATTAAGTCAGCCTTCCAACAACACCTAAACATTTATCACCGTGCAATACAGTTTTTACCTTCTGACCAAAAAGGAGCATGAGTGGAAAAAAGCAACTTCTTTTCTTTCTCTCACCAAAATATTACAAGCTACAAATGCAAAGACTGGTGATCGTCTGCAACAGGTAAACACTACAATACTCACAGGTTTAGACTTAAGCCTTGTAACACTCCTAGGTTTTCCACGCAAGTGACTTCATATCATACCTGTTGATGTGTCCAATGGCCGTGTTGATCGTGACTCGCGGACCACCGTCATCGGGCCTCAACACATATGGCGGGAACACATCGTCATCATCCACGACAGGATCAACGTCAGTCTCACCCGCATCAACGGACTTGGAACACTTGTTTCTCAAGATCTGGACGTTGTAAAAACAGACTTTACGAGGAGAACAAATGCCGTGTTGCCCTATGTCAGTTGTCTGCCTCTGCACCTACGGAAAAAGCTCTCTTGACGTGCAACACCGCTCTCTCCTAAACATGCTTCAGAATTCCAAAGTCACCTGATGTGGAAACTCCCTCCCGGAGCACTCCCCCCCCCCACCCCAGCTCTAACCGTGGAGACACTCACCGCACGTGCACAAGGTTTGCACGGTACCGTATCTACACACACACACGCACAGGGGCTGTGTCATCACCCTGTGACGGCTCCGCAACTCAGCCCCTCAACTGGGACTGCAGCGCCCACACCAACAGGACACACTTTCCAGGCATTTTCCCCCCACAATCCACAGGACCATTTCCACTGTGGGCTCTCAAACAGTTCGTAAAATAGTGCTGGCTCTGTGGTTCCGTGACTTTTCTCACAATGTACACACTGCACACCCTTGCTGAGACTACGCTCTGCAGGTAAAACTGCTTCTACCCATTTCTTTGCACATAAAAAAAACAAAACAACTTAAAGACACCCTACTGACTCTCGGAACTTACCTTTTCAATAGCTTTGTATGTTTTAAGGTCTTCTTCAAAACTTTTTATTTTGTCTGTATCTGCCAACATTATGTAATTAGAGATCGGTGCCCTTGCTCGCCCCTTAGATTGAACATAGGATCGATACTCTGTGGGTAAATCAAAACGAACCACCAAGTTGCATTTTGGTATGTCAACACCCTCTTCCACAATGCTTGTCGCAATAAGCAGGTTGGTCTCGTGTGCTCGAAATTTCCTAAGTACCTGAAAAAAGTCCATCAAGAGAAGCAATTCTAAGAAATTTCCAAAGGAACGGTGCAGTACCAGTAAGTGAAAACTGCCGTTTCTGACACGTACTCTAGGCGCACTCGATCTTCAAGTCCAGGCTAAAGATGACAGCAGCACACAAACAACAAGACCCATGAGCACGTGTGCAGAGAGACTCTGGTTTATTTTCAGCTGAGTACGACTTGAAAAATCAAAGTGCCCTTCTGCTGTACACAAGTATGCACGAGCCACAGAAAGCCTTCCGGGCGGAGAGGCTGGCTTCTTCAATGGCCACCAAAGAATGCAGCCAACAGTGACCAAACGAATCCGCTTCTGGAGTCCTGCTGATACTCTGACCTCACATAGGGTATCTTCCGGCCGTGACACTGTGCCAATGGCCTCCCAAAGATGTCAAGACTCTTTCACTAGAATCCCTAAAACACTTGTAATTCAAAATTACAAGTAAGGCATTACTTACTTTTTGGCATCTTGGGACATTTTCGATTTAAGGAATCAGAACTACTCGTTAAAAAAGGTAAGTGAAAAATTTTCTATGTTAGATTTAAAATAACACCATTTCCCAATCTAGGAGAAGTTAAATTATAAAGTAAGCTGCCTTTTAAACAGATCTATCATACTGGCTGTCAGACTCTCCAAACTTGGAATATTATCAAATAGCTACGACATAGAAAACGAACGCCAACGTGAATTAGTCTACCTTGAAGTTAAATAACAAACTTCAAATAAAACCTTTTTGTTTGCCAGCCAGAGCACTATATTAGGTTTCCCATCTTTACAATGCTGTCTCCTATATTAAAATCTTAGAATGTATGAAAAACTTTAAGCCCAAATCTTTAAAATATAGCGTTATTTTTGAAGTATTCAAGGCAGAACTTTAAACAGAAAACAAAACACTTTATAGGAGAACAAATTCATTTTGTAGCTCAGTCATATGCAGTCAACAGGAGTTACGGTTACACACGCTTTGTTTTTCTAGGAAATGCCATCAGTCAATAAAGGAAAATGAAATGGTTGATGGTAATTAAGACCAAATTGATTTCCTAGACGGCTATTCTAATTCTGAACATATGAATCACCAAACAGCTACCTCATAGGAGACGGCTAGTCTATCTATGAGCAAGTATTCTATGTGACCGAAAATGCCGCCAAGCAACTATGAACAAAGGGAGCTCCTAGGAGCAGAGTTCGTGTGTGTGTGTGTGTGTGTGTGTGTGTGTGTGTATGTGTGTGTACATATATATACATATGTATGTATATATATGTATACACATATATTCTGAAAATTGTTACTGTACAATTATTTCAACTTAAGTTACCTCTTCCTGTTTTCTGAATTCTGCTTCCATCTGTTTGTTACGAGGCTGATTCTTTCCAATGCCATGTCCAGTTATAAAATTGCTGCTGATGTAAGCCAGCTCTGGATCTTGTTTGCCAGCTTCCTTTATCAATCTAAGAAAATTACATACATTTGGAAGTTAAGCATTGCTGAGGGAGAAAAAAAAAATTTAAACTTTTTTGTTTGTGAGGTCTCCCTTAAAATGGAAATTACGTGTATTTTTTGCCAACGTACCTAACACAACGGGTCTTGGTGGTTTTTGTTTTTTGTTTTGTTTTGTTACGTTTTGTTTTCAACGAGCTTAAACAGAAATCACTGCCACTCTTCACCGCGTCGATCTGTGGACCAAACACTCACTGGTAACGCCAAATACAGGGCTGATTTAGCCTGCCGAACAAAATGGCCACAGTACGTCCGACTTTCTAACTTGGCAGTGAGGACTTACTAGGAATGTAGCCCAGTAGGGGACAGAGCTAGGCAGGGAGAAACATGGAATCCTCAAACATCTTGGCCTCAGGCCAGGACCTATCATGAAAAAGCCACACACACTTCTCTGAAAGCTCAATGTTCTTCTACACACACACACACACACACACACACACACACACACA